AGGGAGAAGCAGGCTCCCTGCTGAGCAGGGAGCCCGATGTGGGACTCGATCCCGGGACTCCAGGATCATGACCTGAGCCGAAGGCAGTTGCTTAATGAACTGAGCCACCCAGGCGCCCACCCAGCTTTAACAGTAATTAACTCATGCCCATCTTCATTCCATCTGTATCCTCACCTACATCGTCCCCCTCTCTCCTGGATTCTTTTTGAGGCAAATAATTACTAGTTTTAATGTTCATTTTCACCCTAACCCCCTAAAGAACTTACTCTCAAGATTTTAATATCTATGTTCAAAATAGATTTAGTGATTATAAACTACCTCAGAAAATTCAGGTATGTTTCTAGTATGGGTGTTTGGGAAACAAATACCTCCAGTACTAAATTCTATGATAGTAAGGTTGACAAATCTGAGCTAAATTTTTGGCTAATCGGTTTTAGAAAGCAAGGAGCATATTATATTGCTTCTTTACAGTAGTTTGAAAAAAAATGCGTGTGTGTGTGTGTTCGTTCGTTCGTTCGTGTGTTCTTTCCTGGATAAGTGTTCTCCCTAGCACTGTGGTTTGAATCTGCTTTTGTCAACTCAGGAAGTAATAATACCCAACTCTTCACAAAAGAGGCCTTGTCTGTTTTTTCACCTGTTATGTCTAATGATAGGTAATTCTTTACTTCTGTTTTCTACTTTAGCAACAAATCAGTATTCGGCAGCTCTCCACTATTACCTGCAGGCAGGAGCTGTGTGTTCTGATTTCTTCAATAAGGCTGTGCCCCCTGATGTATATACAGACCAGGTAAGCTGTTTCTGTGGGCTCTCTTTCTTGGCTACCTTTACACTTTGTTTTTTCCGGGCCGCTTTTTGGTGAGTTTATTTCTTTCCATGTATGTGGTGGTAACTAGGTAACTCCCAAGTTGAATCCTCTAGACGATTCAATTCCTCTCTATATTTCCAGGGCCCATAGATCATTGCTGCTTTGATTTCCCAAAACACTTAAAAAACTCAACCTGTCCAAAACTGATTTCAGCATCTTACCTTACAGTCTCCCTCCTCATGACCTTTTTCCACAAAAAGAATAATAACAAAACACCAAAATACCAAACACCTTTTGTTCATTTGAGTTGACCAGGCCCAAATCCTGAGTGTCCTCTTTACCGACGCTCCCACCGAAATCCAGTCAGCCTTCAAGACCTATTGATTCTGTCTCTTAAATCTCAAATTTATTTCATTTTCTTTCTATATGTATTGCTCTTTCCTCTGGTGTAGGCCACCAATATCACAACTTACTAAATGGTATTTTTCAGTACTTTAATAATAAATGGCTTTTGAAATGAGATCTTAAATTTTTTAGTAACTAGCTATTTTTAATTAAAATTTCCATTTAGAGCAGTTATAGATTCACAGCAAAATTGAGCAAAAAATAGAGTTCTCATATACCCACCATTTCCACATACACACAGTTTTTGCCACTGTTGACATTCCATATCAGGTAAATGGGTTACAATTGATGTTAACTAGTTTTTGAAAGTAATCAATTTATTTTTGTAGGTAATAAAACGAATGATAAAATGCTGTTCTTTGCTGAATTGCCACACACAGGTTAGTTTATGATACTATGTTGTTGGTTTATTTTCATGTGTATTAGAGTTTACCATAAATATAAAGCATTGGACTGGGAAGTAGCCTTTATTGTCTGTATCATATAGTTGATGGTGTTTAAGAATTTGGTATATTCTTTAAATTTTTTTTTTTTTTTAGTAAATTTTAACTAAAATAAAAGTATGAATTAAAAAACATCGGTCTTTGCATTTTCAAGTTTTTTGTTGTTTGTTTTTTTTTGGTATATAAGAGTGGATATGTACATTAGTCAGCTAGGGAAATACAAATCAATACGGCAATGAGACACCCCTTCATATTCTCTAGGATGGCTATAATTGAAAGACAGTAACTAGTGTTGGTGAAAGTGTGGAGAAATTGTAACCTTCATACATTTCTGGTAGGAATATAAAATGGGGAACTCCTCTGGAAAACAACTTGGCAGTTCCTCAGAAAATTTAAGCATAAAATTACCAATGTGACCTAGCAATTCAGTTCCTAGGTTTGTAACCAAGAAAGTTGAAAACCTGTCCACAGAAAAATTTATACATGAATGTGCACAGTAGCATTATTCGTAATAGCTAAAAAGTAGAAACAACCGGGCACCTGGGTGGCTCAGTTGGTTAAGCGACTGCCTTCAGCTCAGGTCATGATCCTGGAGTCCCAGGATCGAGTCCCGCATCGGGCTCCCTGCTCCGCAGGGAGTCTGCTTCTCCCTCTGACCCTCCTCCCTCTCACGCTGTCTCTCATTCTCTCTCTCTCAAATAAATAAATAAAATCTTTAAAAAAAAAAAAAAAGTAGAAACAACCCAGATGTCCATCAGTTGGTGAATGGATAAATAAAATTTGGGAGAGCCTACAGTAGAATATTATTTAGCCATAAAAGCGATTGAAGGGCTGAGACGTGCTGCAACAAGGATGAATCTTAGAAATATTATTTTGAGTTAAAAAAAAAAACCACATACACATGGCTTTGTATTATGATTTCATTCATATGAAATGTCCAGGATAGGCGAATATGTAGTCAGAATGAGGATTAGTGGTTGCCAGAGACTCAGGGAGTGGAGGAATGGACTAGCTGTGACAGGTCTAATTGCATGTTCTGTATGTCCTTGGAAGTCATTACGTAATACTTTTGTTTGGCAGTTTTCAACTCCTTTCAGTTTTCTGAACTGGCTTTTGCCAGTTTCTCAAAGCTGTAAAAATTTATGATTTTTAGGTCATTCATTAAATGGACAGATTTTTTTTAAAGATTTTGTGTGAGAGCACGAGAGAGAGCGAGCTTGCTCAAGAGCCCGCATGTGCACATACAAGCAGGGGGAGCAGCAGACAGAGGGAGACGAGAAGCAGGCTCCCCACTGAGTAGGGAGCCCAATGTGGGGCTTGATCCCTGAGATCATGACCTGACCCGAAGGCAGACCCTTAACCCCCCGAGCCACCGGGGCACCCTGGGCAGACAGATTCTTGTGTAAAGGTTTTTGCAATTAAAATTAGATGGAATCCATAAATATGAGCTGATCCACTCGCTTTGATCTGCAAGCCCTCTTTAATATATTCTTTATTTTTTTAATTTATTTTTAATTTTTTAAAATATATTCTTGATGTAAGAATCATTAAAAATTACTTCTCCTGGGGGCACCTGGTTGGCTCAGTTGGAGGGGCATGCAACTCTTGATCTTGGGGTCGTGAGTTCAAACCCCACATTGGGTGTAGAGATTATTTAAAAAAAAAGATTAAAATTTACCCCTCCCAAAGAGTCATTGTTGACACTGATTACATGAAACCATTTTCAAATCTTTGTTTATGTAGGTGGCAATTTTATGTCAGTTCCTCAGAGAAATTGACTACAAGACAGCCTTTAAATCATTGCAGGAACAAAACAGGTATGAATGATTTTTAAAATGAAGCTGAAATTTTTCTGCTTAAGAATGAGAAAGTAATTAAATTCTGTTTTTCAGTCATGATGCTATGGACTCCTACTATGACTACATATGGGATGTTACCATTTTGGAATACTTGACTTGTATCCTTTCATCAATATATGTGATATTAGAACGGTTCATTTCTGTAAATTAAAAAAATACTGTGTATTTCCTAAATCAAAGTTGAGGAACAATTGAGATTCTGTCATGGTATTTAATAATATCAGATTTATTATTCTTAACTGATTTGTTTAGATCTTCATCATAAAAGAGGAGAAACAGATAAAAGACAAATTGCAGTAAGTTACTTTATGCCTTTCTTCAGTGATATACTTAATTTCCCTGGTATTAAACCATTGTTAAGATTTGGACCAACAAAAAAAGATTTTGTGTGCCTAGTTATTGCCAGAATTTGGTTATCCGTGTTTACTTTTAACAGGTCCTATTTTGACTTCAGAGCTTTTACCTCCAGTTTATTTATTTTTTTAAAGATTTTATTTATTTATTTGACAGAGACACAGCGAGAGAGGGAACACAAGCAGGGGGAGTGGGAGAGGGAGAAGCAGACTCCCCCCACTGAGCAGGGAGCCCGATGCGGGGCTCGATCCCAGGACCCTGGGACCACAACCTGAGCCGAAGGCAGACGCTTAACGACTGAGCCACCCAGCCGCCCCCCTCCAGTCTATTTTATATTAAAATGTTAGATCATACCCTCTCTCTGCTCCAAACCTGTAAATGGTTTCCCATCTCATGTGGTGTCAGAGTCCTTGTAATGGCCTACAAGACTACAGATGACTTGACCTCTAACTATCCATTCGGTTTTCTCCCTTGCTAACTTCTGCTACACCATTAGCTGTTCTTTGAACATGCTGAAAATATTCACCACTGAAGAGCTTTTGAAGTTTTATTTTCTAGAAACATTTCTTAACTTCCCTTAGGTCTCCTCAGCTGTCTTCTTAGTGATCATTTCCTGGGCATCTTATAAAATAGCAGTGTCTTTCTCCATCCTTTTCTCTCCAACACTCTCCTTTTCATTTCCCTTTTGAAATTTTCTTCCATTATACTTACCTACATCTGACATACTGTATATTTACTATATATTGTGCCTCTATCTCCCTCTTCCCCTTCCTACTTCCCCACAGGAGGGACTTGGTTTTGTCATAGCTGATACCTAGAATGGTGCCTGGCTCACAATAGATGCTCAGTAATTGAATAGATTATTTAAAAATTTGACATCTAAGCTAGATATAAATTTACGGCCATTTTTACTTGCCTAGCATTTTTGCATCATTATCACCATAGATACTTTCTTTCTGCTCTTTCATCCATATTAACAAAATTATGTGCTATTGTGTGTCTTTTAAAGCTCTCTCTTCATGAAAGAGAACATGAAGCTAGCTGTACTTGATTGGAGGCAACTCTTTCTCCATTTCCGGTTTATCCAGAACTGGAAGGCAGTACTGAAATTGTTACTTCCCCAGTGCTATTTCCAAATAATATTTACTTGTAATCATTTTACACCCTTTCTCTTTAAAAGCTTACATCTATCTCCTGACGAGCTCATCTGACCAAACTAGTGGTTATTCCTCTGCATGCATCAAAATATGTGATCAGTTTACCCAGTTCCCCTAGCTTTACAAGTTCATTGTTACCTTTACTCTGTATCAGCCACCCACGCCCATAGCCACGCCTTATTGCCAGTTCCACATAAGATCTCTCTGCCAGTAATCTATCCCTCTCTTACTTCCTGGCTCCCACGTTCCTCATTGTCAGTGAGATGTTCAGGTTCAAGACCACTTTTTCCTGTCAGCCCCTTCCCAGCTTCCCTTCCTTCTCTACTCACTTTAGTACAGCCAATACTAGTCTGTGCACTATCAGAGATGCTGATTCAGTTGGCCTGAGATGAGGTCCTGGAATCCACATTTTAAGTTTCCCAGAAAGTTCTGATGACAAACCAGATTTGGGAACCCCTGTTTGTCTATGGCTGACTGTCAGAACTGCCCTTTGATCAATATTTATAGCATCTTTGCTTTTTTTGTCCTTCACTTCACCTGGAAAAATCCCTTTTCAAAAATTTATGCTTTTTTTTCCTGAGCCAGAGTCTGGTTGGAAAAAACCCTACAACCATATAAACTGGTGAGCCACTACCAAACCATGGTCTCCAAGCGTACCTGGCCCCTCATCTCTTGTGTTATGGCCAGCAGTCAGGGGTCTACTTTTTCAGGGACTGTTTTAGACTTGCCTTCTGTTTAGTCCCCTGTCCTTTCTCTCCCTCTTCTGTACTTCCTTGCCTGTGTTTAGACTAGACCAGAAAAAAGACTGACCTCCACATGGGAATTGTAGTTTTGGGAATTGTGGCCAAATCCCTCCTTCCCATCTTTAAAATCTGTAACTGTGCTCACCACTAAGTACACTCTTAGTAAGAGGTTATGTTACTTCTTGATGAAGGCAAGTTTCTAGGCTTTGATTCTATCTCTTCAGTGACCTTTAATGAGCTGTCTCTGCTCCTGTATTGTCAACCTCTCCCAGCGCTTATAAACTGTTTCATCCTTGACTGTGCCTCTACCTCCCTCTTCCCCTTCTCTGCCTAGTTTTTTGAAGCTCTTTGACCCAGTGTAATTTGACTTCTGCCATCACCGCTCCTGTTACCTCAAGGGTCACCAAATGTCAAAGCCAGTGGATACTCTTCAGTCCTTATCCTTTTGTTTACATCTCACTTCTTAAAATCTTTATTCCTTTGTTGTTCCTGACATCATTTTTACTCAGTTCTTTTCACTGTTACTTTTCTTCTGTGTGGGTATCTCCCTCTGTCTACCCCTTAACCTTGGTTTCCCCAGAAAGTTAGTCCCTCCATTATTTTGATTGCCCTACATCCTCCCTAGGTAATTTCACCCACTTATGGTTTTGACTGCTACTCACAGAGTACATTACTTCTCTCAAATCTCTGGTCTATCCCAATTTCTGTCTTCTACTTTGGACTTTTATAGCCAGTCATCTTTGTGATACTTTGTTTGTTGGAAATCTCTAGTTATACCCTAAGACCATGTTTTTCCACATGCATTCCTTCATATGGAAATGGATATCCTCCAGCAATTCTTCCTACTCTCTGATGATCATTTCTGAATAGTCTACTATCACCCTTCAAGGTACATACCAGAATAGTCTTTGTTGTTTAAAGTTTTGTTTTTTTTTTTTTAAGGTTTTATTCATTTGACAGAGACATAGCTAGAGAGGGAACACAAGCATGGGGGGTGGGAGAGGGACAAGCAGGCTTCCCGAGGAGCAGGGAGCCTGATGTGGGGCTCGATCCCAGGACCCTGGGATCATGACCTGAGCCGAAGGCAGACGCTTAACAACTGAGCCACCGATGCGCCCCTAAAAGATGTTCTAATTGGGTTTCTTTTTTTAATCTAAAGGTGTAGGTAAAGGTAATTCGAAGATCGTAAAGTATGTTCTCACAAAATGCTCCTTGGCAGAGTACTGTGGATTTTTAGTAGGCTGAGGTATTTCTTTCTAATCATGAAAGAAATGAATTACTGTATGCTATTATAGTGCTGAACAACTGTTTTTGCACCTTAAAAAAGTGAAGCCTTTCCTGAAACACGAATTTTGATTTTTCAGACTATTTTGTTGGAGCCCTAATTTAACTGTAAAAATGTGTTAAATGACATGCAGAGTTTATTTACTGGTATTTTTAGTCAAACTTATATGAATTAATGTTACTGTAGGTAGAGTAGTCGTCTCCCCTCGTTTCCACAGGGGTAAGTTCCAAGACCCCTGGTGGATGCCTGAAATCATGGCTAGTACTAAACGCTATATATACATACCTATAGTAGAGCAATTATAACAATATACTGTAATAAGTTATGTGAATATAGTCTTTCTCTCGAAGTATTTTAACTGTATTGTACTCACTCTTGTGAGGTGAATGATGTAGGCATTGTGGTATAACATTAGGTTACTGTTGACTTTTTTAAGATTTTATTTGAGGGGGGAGAGAGAGAGGGCGCGCGCATGAGCAAGGGCAGGGGGAGGGAGAAGGAGGCTCCCCGCAGAGCGGGGAGCCCGATGGCGGGGCTTGATCTAGGACCCTGGGATCATGACCTGAGCCCAAGGCCGATGCCTAACCGACTGAGCCACCCAGGGCCCTCTACTGTTGACTTTCTAAGTTATGTCAGGAGGAGGATCATCAGCTTCTGGACCATGGTTGCTTTCATATAAGGGGGACCTACTGTAATTCCATAAACAAGGCTCAGCATCTGATTTAATTTTTTTAAGAGTGGCTCTAGTCCGTCTTTGTTAGTTTCTTCCATACCTCTTATCATTTATAATTAGAAGTTCAGCTAGTCATTAAATTGTTAGCATGTAGGTAGTTTTATATTATGTACACTAGCAAGACTTTATCTTTGACCACACCTGTAATAACCTCACTTTCTTGTTTTGGAAGATTAAAGCCATCGGCCAGACAGAATTGAACGCAAGCAACCCAGAAGAAGTGTTACAGCTGGCAGCGCAGAGAAGGAAAAAAAAGTTCCTCCAAGCAATGGCAAAACTTTACTTTTAAGCAGTTAGTTAAAATTTTTTAACTTTTATTTTTTAAACAATGGGCTAAAAATAAACAGTATTAGATTATATAATACATATGTACACATTAAGTGGTGTTTTCTTTTCAGACAATACTGAAACAGTTGAAAAACAACTATACAGAAGACTTCATACCATAACCATAGCTTAAATTTATTCTGTTACTGGACATGTGAATCTCTTCCTTTGAAGAAATTATAAACTAGCAACTTAGTATAATTTATTTTCTATTAGACCCACTCTTGAGGCTGAAATTTCATTTTTTTAAAAAAAAAAACATGTAGAAGTAGCTAGTCTATACACAGCAAGTTCTTATGTCAGGTTTTTTTGTTTGTTTTTAATAAATAATCTAGGAGTCAGTATACATTTACTACTTTTCTGCCTTATGAAAATAGAAGTTTAGGTCAAGTGTTAAGCTTTATCACTTTGACACTGTCCTTAACTCATAATGTAGGAATTAAAAAAGGACCTTAATAGTTTTGCGAACATAAATAGTCTTAGTCACACTAAATTAAGAAAAAGTCCTTAGGGATATCTTGGGAGTTAATAAAGTGACTTTCTCATATAAATAGGTTGAAAGGGTACTTCTTCACTTAAATTGTGATGTATGAAAAGTTATTATAAAGCAACCTTTGTGTCAAAGCCCAAAGTAGGAGCTACAACATTTATCTTGTTTAAAATTTCTTTGGTATTCCCCCTTTTTAGAGCACAGTTTAAACACCCATGTTCATCTAAGCCTTACTGGTTAAAAAAATGCCATGGCAAGGCAAATGTATCAGTTAAAAAACAGATTAAAGTTCACCATTTGTAAAAATTCAAGTTTTATAATAGCTTGCTACAGCAGCTATAGATAAATTAGTCACCTTATTATAAAACTAAACATTTTGTAAACAAGTTTAAATTTTATTTTCAAAAACCAAATTGCACTAGTCAATAATATGAATTTTGAGAATCTAAAAACTAGATTCAAAGTATTGTATTACTCAATGTCCCCTTTAAGGTAGTACTTAATCTAGTCTAAAACGCCAATGATAAAATTCTTAGTTTATCAAGATAAACATAGTAACACTGGATCAAAAAAAATTGTTACGGCATAAATTGTGGCTGGCTTCTATCCAGTCACGTTGGGAATGAAGTCATCTTTGTAAACAATCCTGCTGTTTAAACAGCTAACCTAGGAATTTCTTCCTTAATGCCAATTTTAAGTAGTTTTTTTAAATTCAAAGAATGGCAGTGAAACTTCTGAATTGGCCAGGACAGTCATAGCACTACTTTTCTGAAAACTTTAGTAGTTCAGTTCTATGAAATTCTACCCAATACTCAGTCAATTCCAGCTTGTTTGCTTAGTTAACTTCTTCAGTGTTTTCCTGGTGGTTTCTCAGTGCTCTTCGGTGGTGTCATAATGCCTCCACTACACACTGGTGACAGCTGTCCCTCCTTTCTGAAGGTGTTTACGTAATTTACTTCATCCTGTAGGTGTGAAGAAATCATGCGGAGATTAACAGGTAAGATAAAGCACTGACCGAGTTAACGTCGAACCAGATTTTTTGGGTACTAATTTGAGACTACTTAGGCCTCATGTAGTGGTCTCTGTCTTTGCAAGCATGACTAGTCACATTTTAGAGATTCAGCAGTTTGAACTGCCTAAAACTCTTACCTGGACTACTGGCACTGATCTTGAGACACTCCACAAATCTTGCTGTGACGTTAGTGTGCCCATTAGAACTTTCTACCCCCCAGTAGCTTAAATCACTGCCCTGAAGTATTTCTAGTATCCTTACTCTCAGTTTCAGTGACTTACTAGATAAAAAACCAAAAAGCCCCACAAGAAACATACCAGCATAGCCAGATAATTTGTATGTGTCTGGATATTGTGTCTATCTTCCATAGAAATCTTCTTAAAAATTTTCAGCTTCACAGGACTAGTACTTTTTACTACACTGACAAAAGGCACCATCCAGTCTACACATTCAGAAATGTTGTCCCATTCCAAACCTAGACAGAGGAAAATTAGGAAAATGTGAAGGTTCTGTCAGAAACTGTCTTTCAACATAGTTTGAGAATGCTAATCTGCTTTAACTTATCGGAACTTGATTTTGGCCTTTGTTGTTGTTGGTCTTTATTTTATTTTAATTTATTTATTAGAGTGCACATGATAGCCCGGGGAAGAGCAGAGGGAGAGGAATAAGCAGACTCCATGCTGAGTGCAGAGCCCAACATGGGGCTTGATCCCCACCACCCAAGATCCTGACCTGAGCTGAAATCAAGAGTCAGACGCTTAACAGATTGAGCCACCCAGACGCCCTGATTTTAGCCTTTTAATAACGTGACCGTTTTGAGGGAGAAAATTAGAGTGCCCCCCCTTTTTTTAAAGGATTTATTCATTTGAGAGAGAGCACATGAGCAAAGGGGAGGGGTAGAGGAACAGACTCCCTGCTGAGTGCAGAGCCGGAAACAGGACTTCATCCCAAGGACGTGAGATATTACCTGAGCCAAAACCGAGAGTCGGACGTTTAACCAACTGAGCCACCCAGGTGCCCCAAGACTTTAGAGCTTCTTAACCAATACCTTCTACATATGAAACAAATTACCAAAACCCAAAGAACTCTTAAAACAGAGCTATATCCATGTTGACTAACTTCAAATGGATATAAATTCCATTTGACATTTTTTTGTTTATACTGAAGATTAGAAAATACTTCTAACCAAAAGGGAAGGTAGTGGCTAAACTAATTTTCTTCCATTTTAATAGGAAGCTAAAGTTGATAAAAGTACCTTTAAAAGTGAACATGTAAGAAGATAACAAAATACAGTGCTTTACCTGAGGCTTTCTTAACCACTTCAATAGAGGTAAAATGGCACAAGGCAGCGGCAGCCAATATTCTGTACTGGAACTCTAATGAATCGATGGCTAGAATACACAGATCTAAAAGCTAGCAAAGGAAAAAGCAAAAGTACACATATTTAAGAGAAAGGATGAGTGATACATGTTGCTACTAAAGATCAGTCAGCTACCATTTTAGAGTACTTATGTGGACCCATATGTTAAGAATTGCTAAAACTACAGGGATCCAAAGATAATTTCCTTGAGAGTGGTGGCTTGAGTTAGGAAGTGAATAGACAATGACTGTTAGGACGCGGTGTGATGTATAGTAGTAGGAAGGGCACCTCATCCAGAGTGGGGAAGACTTGTGCTGCTTAAATCTTAAAAAATAAGGTAGCTAGGAAAATAGGGAGGTGTAGAGTATTCTATGTATAGGGAACAGCATTTGCAAAGATAAATGAGAAGGTAGTCCTTTCCCATGGAACTCCTAGTTCAGAACAAAGGAATTCCTTCATTCCTTATTTATGGGAGGGGGGACGGACAGACGGACAGTAGCTGGAGAGGGACAGATAGGATCATAGATTAGCCTAGGTTAGATCATAAAGTGTCATTAAGAATTTTAGTTCTGATTACTGAAATTACTGGAGGATTTTAAATCAGGAAAGATACATTTTAAGAATGATCCTTTAGAAACATGTTCCCTTCTGTGTATCTGCTTCACTGTAGTCTAAACAGATTAAAAGGCAGATCTATAATCCAGGTATGAAGAGCTGCACGAAGAGCAGAATGGTGTAAAAGGGCTAGATTTCAGAGACCTAAGGTGATACCTGTTCAGTGAAATAAAATTATGTTTGCTCACATTGGTCCAGAAGATAGAAACATGAGAAGACTTAGAAATAAACAATGTAGACACAGTAATTACCAGCTTATCAAATGTTTGTTCTCTACAAAAAGGGTATAGCTACCTAAGATAATTTGGAATGCTGGGAATTGACAGAAAAAAAAAGTCTTCATTAGAAAGTTTTATAAAATGAACCAATTCTAAGATTTTACTGGTAATTCAGTTTTAGTGTTCATAATGTGTTGACTAGATTTAAAATACAACTGAATTTCAACCTAGGTTATTTAAAACCCATCCCAATATACCGTAGTTCCTTCAATTCCATATGTAAGCTTTTCATATCCTACACAGAATTAGAACATAGATTTTCCTCACTTATATATGGCAGTTACAATGGTCTTTAAGATACTTACGAGAAGCAGGCAGGAAAGAACATTTGTTGTGCTGGCCTAGGAAAGCGTAATTTGAACCTAATTTTTAAAAAATAACTAAGGTAATCTTAATTCTAATGTAAAAAATAGGTACCCTGTGTATTCAAATAGAATAAGATAATCATATAATTTTTTTTTTTTAATATTTTATTTGAGAGAGAGACAGAATGAGAGACAGAGAGCATGAGAGGGAGGAGGGTCAGAGGGAGAAGCAGACTCCCTGCCAAGCAGGGAGCCCGATGCGGGACTTGATCCC